AATCTCTCATGTAAATGAGGGCCACAGACCTGTGATGAGCACAGCACTCCTGCACACACTGTTTCCTGTGACCGAATCCTTTCTACTTTTCCTTCGTCTTCAAAATTTGTTCTTCCAAGAGTGGGACGAAATAGGAATCCTTGCATTTTTGACATAGATTCATGTCACTGTGAGAGATCTCAAAGAGCTTTTGTGGTCATAAATGTTACTGTGAATTTGTAGCCATCCTGCGAGTTCCATGATCAATTCCTAAGAGGCTTGTCTGAGGCTCCACAACTGATGGGCTGCTTTATAAAGAAGATTACGAAACCAGAAACTCAAACATTCAGAGTCAGAGGCAGCACTCTCGTCTCTGAGGCAGAAGGTTGTGGGTTCAAGCCCCACATTGAGACTTGGAATCGCACAGTCTAAGCTGACACTCCAGTGCATTGCTGGGGGGGGCTGTTGCCCTGTCAGAGGTGATGTCCTTCGGATGAGGTCCCGTCTGCCTGTTCAGGTGGACGTTAATAATCCTGCGTCATTGTTCAAAATGAGAAGGGAGTTTCTCTCTCCCTCCCGGTGTCCCGACCAACAATCCCCCAAATACCATCGGTCACCCACTTTATGGCTGTTGTGGGACATTGTGTTTGTGCAAACTGGTTGCCACATTTTGCCCACAAAAGACACAGTCAAAATCACTTGACAGTATATCCTGTGAAAGTGGGTCGAGACAAGATTAGCAACGAATACAAATTGCATTTCTATAACGCCTTTCACGTCGGGAGGACTCTAAAGATCTTATAAGGGGCTATATCAAATACAAGAATGACTTATTATTTGCAACGCTAAAGTAACTTGTTTAGCCCTGAATTACCGTTTCCAGTTGAAGCTGGGAGCAGGCAAATAACCAAATACAAGGAGAGAATAATGTCAAACAGTTAAATGACTCTCAGTAAATCTGTAACCAGATTAACCCAACTTCCCAGAGCAACCCAACTGTATCTCCAATTTTTTCTATGTAACAGAAGCAAGTGATCGCAGGAAGTTTTGACAGCGATTTTTTTCTCTCTCATTTAACATCAGAGATTTCCAGTCATTTGTGGAAATCTGTAATTGGAGCCAGTAATGAATGTACCCTCAAAGGCTATTAAAAAGGGAAGAGGAAAAAAAAAACCTTATGAATCCGAGATGAATTAATCATCAAAGCTGCTGCCGTTTGATAAACAACCCGAGTCCTAATGAAAACACATCGCATAAGGTTTGATCCAACGCCTGCACCTGATGAAGAAAGGGGGAAAAAAGACAAAAACCTTATTGATGGCTTGGAAAGGTTAGCCGGGTGCCCTTGAGGTGTGAAGCAGTTAATGAGGCCTTCCTCCTGACACAGGGTGCCTTGCAGAGTCAGCTGAGCTCTTCACACCCCGCCAAGCCCGTGTGATGGGAGACTCCAGTGGGTCGAAGACGCGTTGAATTAGTGAGACGGATAAAGCTGAAATTGCATCTCGGAAGAGTGGAACAACAGATCTCATTCTCCAAACCAGCTGAACCACATTTAGGGAGGAGAGATGGGGAACAGGATTATAGTCACTTTCAAGATATAGTGTGTGATGTTTGGAGTCAATTAGATATTGTGTGGGCCTTAAACTCTAATTATAAAAGGGGAAATGTTTTAAAATGTCACATTTGAATAGTTTGAGAGCCTCTTGTGACATTAGCGTAAACCATTTAGGTTGATACATAGAGTGTCAAAGTTTAGTTGATCAATAGATATATTTGGCAAGGTTCACCTCATCAAGGATTCTTTAATCTGGGTTACTGAGAGAAAAAAATATTGTGGGGTGAAATATAATAATATAATACTCCTTGCATTTGATACAGCGCCTTATCACGTCCTCGAGACGTCTCAAAGCGCTTCACAGGATATACTATAAAGTGAATTGACTGTTTATTTTGTGGGAGAAACGTGGCAGTCAATTGCACACAGCAGCGTCCCACAGACAGTCGTGGATTGAGCGACCAAATATTTTTAAAAATATCTTTGGGAGGGATTATTACTCCCAGAAAAGCGATCCGCCAATCGTCTAACAACCGGGTTCCTACTTACAACTTCAGATCAAAGAGCTTTCCGGTTAGATTGGGGGGTCCCAATTAGACAATATTCGATGCACTTTACAAACGGTTTTCCCAAGTTAAACCTGCTTTCTGCCACAACAGTAACTTTCTGCTTTTTATAAAGTGCACAAGTTTATTCTTGATACCACTTGATTCAATTATTATATTATAATATACAAGCAGCCACATCATCTCCTGGTAATAAAGTGTTCCTTTATTAGCAGTGCCTACAAAAAAAAACATTTCCTTTTAACAAAGCATAATTGACAGCCCTTATGATGAACGTCCCCCCAAAAAACACCATGAGTGTCTATCTGGCAGCAAGGTACTCGAGGATAAACTGAAGAGGTTACAGGCGGTTATTTAATCAAAAGGTTCATGAATCGGTTATAAATTGCGCTCTCGAGGTTAATTATGTCATCTGAATCTCTTGGTTCGATTGCTGCTTGTAATCACTCCTTAGCAATATATTGTTTTCTACATAAACCACCGGAAACTCCAATTATATTACAGCACCGCACTGCCCCTCCCCTGGTGTTGTTTTTTGTTGAACACGTCGATGTCTCCATTAATTATTATACTCTTTTTGCAATATCTATTATCCCACATGTGAACCATCTAATGTTTCTACCCAGAAAATATAGTCAATTCACTTTACAGTCTATTCTGTGAAGCCCTTTGAGACGTCTCGAAGACGTGATAAATCGCTATATCAAATGCAAGGATTATTATTATTATTATTATCATGATTATAAGCCACTTTGAGGGTGATGTTGAGGGAAATGGTCTGAAACTCGGGAGGTAATTTCAGCCGACTACAAGCAGCCATGATATGACTAAATGTTACTATCGATATCCACGTCGCAACTAATATCAACTTACATGTCAAGGAATTATATTTATCAAATAAAATATTTATTTAGGGTTAGGGTTATCGCACCTGATAATAATCCCTCCAGAAACAAAAACAATAATAAATTGGTCACTTCAATCCACGACTGTTTGTGGGACATTGCTGTGCGCAATTGGCTGCCGCGTTTCGCCCACAAATATACAGTCAATTCACTTTACAGTATATTCCGTGAAGCGCTTTGAGGCGTCTCGAAGACGTGAAAAGCGTTATATCAAATGCGAGGATTATTTTTTTGGGGGGAAATAAGCAAATAAGCACAATTCCACCGCACCCCCCCCCTCCCCACCACTGGTTTGTGAGAAAACACCGTTGTTCTGGACGGCATCTGGAGTTAGACAAGAGTTGCTCAGGTGATTTATGTCTCGGTCTGTCTTCGACCAGCTGTCAGCATATTGGGCAGCTATCAGCATTCACTTTACAGTATATCATTCCCACCTGATAATCCAACTCAGTAAAAACCTTCAGTAGATTTGGTATGAATGTAGCCCAGGCAGATGGGAAGTCTCTCTCTCTCTCTCTCTCTCTCTGGCTGCTGTGAGGGCCCCACATAAATTATTATTATTGCACAAAGTAACTAACGTTCCACGTTAGATTTCAATGGACACACATCGGAAATATTTATACTGGAGCGATTTATCAGTTCTTCCCCAGAAAATTACTATATATATATAATAAATAAATGGGCTGTGGCAGCTCAATTTCCTGGTGAGCATAAAGTCCACAACACAAAACAGCTCAGAATTCAAGTACAGTTGTCCATAAATTAGCATTATCGACATTTTGAAGTCTGTCGACTTCACACAGTCACTCCACTTTACAGTGTATCCTGTGAAGCACTTTTAGACGTCTCAACGACGTGATAAGGCGCTAGATCAAATGCCAGGATTATTATTATTAGAGTTAAAGCGCTCACACATATCTGCGCCTTTTATTTATTTTTCCAAAGTTGTACAGTACAATAAAAGTTCATAACACAACTGGAAAATACCTTGTACAAGGACCGTTGATGCCATCTAGTGCTGAACTGCGGCCGGCACTCCACATGGAGACGTGAAGTGATCAGAGACTCAGCAGATAGTCCATGATTTGTGACTACATTCAATGCATAGTGTTTTTGAGAAGCACATCCCGGCAATTCTGGAGGCCACAATGCTGTAGCCTAATCTCTGGATGTTAACTGGAAGTGAGATTATAACCTGTGTTAACTGTTGGAACAGAATAATAACAGAATATATATATATATATCCCGCAAAGCGCTTTGAGACGTCTCAATGACGTGATAAGGCGCTATATCAAATGCGAGGATTATTATTATTATTAATATTACAATGTAAGGATTATTACATTATTAATAATAATTAAAATTCCCAACTACATTTTTTTAAATACAAAAAAAAGGTTCAAACATTTGCCGTCCAAAAACTGTACTGAGGTAGGCGGGGGTCGCTGAGAGCATTTTGCTGTGAACAGCTTCCTTACCTCAGCAGCTCAGCAGCTCAGCAGCTCAGCAACGTACCTAAAAAATCCGCTAACGTCGTACTCTTTTAGACATTGATTGGCCAGTCTGTCGATCGCCAGCATCTGGAGTTTGTGTTCTGTTTTAGCTCCAGCAGCCGCCTGTAAAGTGGCATGACTCGTTTGAGGTGTGGCTCTGGCTCACAAGTAGCTGTCTCTCCCCTCAGAGTCAGAGGGTTTGTGGGTTCAACTGGGGCTTTGAACTGGCGCTCTAAGCCGACTCCTACACTGTGTTGGGGAGGCACTGGAGGTTCCGTCCTTCAGGTGAGACCTTAAACTGAGGTCCTGTCAAAAGATCCCAAGACACTTCAAAGAGAGCAGTGAGTTTCTCCTGGTGTCCTGGCCAACAACACTGACAACAGTCACTTAATGGCTGTTGGTGGGACATTGCTGTGCATCAATTGGCCACCACATTTGTCTCCAAAATAGTAATTTCCCTTTACAGTAAATACTGTGTAGTAAAAACATCACACGCAAGAAATCTTCATTAAAACATTTAATAGGTCAGTCTGCAATTATTATCCTAGTAACATCTATTTAACAAACAAACAAACAATCTCATAACCCCACAGGAGCTCCTCAGCGCTCATTGCTATCACATCTTTCAAAACAGACTCTTTCGGAACTTAAAAAATAATTTTTACTTTTTTTTGGACAACCATTTGAGTGACTGTCTCTCTGCTGACACTGTCAAGAGTGTTGTTAATTCTATACTGTGATCGTGAAATACTGTGTTTGCCTGGGCCACACACTCTCCTTCAGAACATACAGCTAGGGAGCAGGCACAGAGGAAAGGAATGTGATAAAAATCAACATTAATGTATATATTTAGGTTGGGAATACAATAAACAAGGTGAGTCCTAGTGCTTCAACATAGGATATTTAAAATTAACATTTTTAATTTTCCAGTGCAATCTTTTTATAATAGAGGATAACAGCCAGTTATTGCCGATTAGTTACCAATGACAATTGAAATATTTCTCATTACTGGAGCCATCCCAATCCCCTCTCATTTGGAGAATCTGCATATAAACAACTTCCGGTAACCAGAGAACAAGAGCAGTGAACAAATAGTCATATGAAGATCGTCTTCTGAAACGGTCAACAATATTTCCGCTCAACGTTAAAAAAAAATCACTTGAGCTTTGATCTGCTCGTGACTATGTTTATTACTTCAATGCTCCGATCCATTAAGAGCCAGGATCTGACAAACAGGACACTCATCAAGTGATATTGCAAGACCCACAACTATAAATAGCTCAAGAATAGCTCGGTTTAAACAGGAAACCAGGTTGGGCAGAGACTGATCCAAATGCCCTCCAGTATCTGCAGTTCTACAGCAGTGCTATGAACTACTGCACACTTCCGAACAGTCTGAAACAATGGTCTGACTCAACATAAAGGTGCAGTTAATCTTTCATTATGTGACAAATATGGATTTGGATGAGCTTGTGACTCAGTCCCAGGTTTCCATTCAATCTTTGGGCTAATGACTGAATCACACAACCATGCAATTCCCAACCCCCTCAACATCAACTGGTCCTAGTGGTTTCATTTCCTTGACTAATGACTAAACAAGGAAGGATTCTTTCCTTTGAAAGGACAGTTTGGACTATTTCTACTCTTCCCATTCTGGAACCTGTAATGACCAGTATGCAAGACATCACAGATATTAAAGTAATAATCCTTGCATTTGATACAGCGCCTTATCAAGTCTTTGAGATGTTCTCAAAGCGCTTCACAAAATATACGGTAAAGTGAATTGACTGTACATTTTTGTGGGCAGAACGCAGCAGCCAATTGCGCACAGCAGTGTCCCACAGTCGTGGACCGAGTGACCAGGTTATTATTATTACAACTTGATTTAAGATGTATATCTGTCGGGTCTTGCATAGCGGTTGTTTAAATGAAAACATCAGCCAAATGGGCTGCTAAGTAATTCAAAACAAGAAGACAGCCTATCTGCAAACACACTGCATCAGGGTATCAGGAGAATGTCATCAGAATGCCAGGTGTGACTGTCATCCCTACTCAGAGCTTCCCCGAACACAGAGCAGCAGTCACAATCGGGTTGGATTAGCCAACAGGAAGTGCTAAACATTGGCAGCCATTTCATGGCACAGTGCACGCCACCCAACCAGGTGGGTAAACCATCAGCAGCAAAAAGAAACAAGAGCAAAAGATCCCCTTCGCACTCCCCTTCAGAGCTCAGAGTAGGCAGGCAGCTTGAGGGGCATGCAAGGAAGAAGCAAGAAATGGTGGTAAAAAAAAATCAATGTTATTGTGTCACTTTAGGTTGGGAATACAGGACTCCTCACCGTACTCGCTAGAGCAATGCAAGTCCTAGAGCTTTAACATAGGCGACGTAAAATTTAAAGAAAATGTTAATTTTCCAGTGCAATGATCAACAAAACCACAATATTTTACAAAATAGTATTTTTCCCTATATTCTCCTCCCACCCGGATGGTTATTCCACCCCCCACCCACCTGCCTCCCTTTCTACTGTGGTACAAATGGTTCCACTGGCTTGGGGGCACCTTTGAGTCCCTCCTCCGAACAGCTACTGTTCATGTGGGAGATTTGACAGTGAGTCATGTTGGTGAGCTCAGAGCGAGTGTGTGTGTGTGTGTGTGTATGGACTTTCCAACTCTCCACCTGAAGTTAGCACATGTACATCTTTCACCATCAGGTGTTGGTCTGATTTCTGTAGGACGTTACCATGCGCACTGGGCTTTGGGAGGAGCTTTTCCTTGCTACTGGACCTACTGAACAGCTGCCAAAAGTAATTCCTTTAAAACACAGTCACAGATAGTTCATACAGTGATTCGATTTCTAATTATCCATAAAGTACACTGGTACAAAATGTACACACTGTTTAAAGAGCAACACTAATTATTTCCTTTAAAAAAAATGACCAATGAACTCCTACGGAAAATAATGGATATTCCTGAGATTTCCAGGTTTGAGAGGTTTCAGGCTCTGCACACACTGGGCTATTAATCATTGCTCATTTCCCTTTGAAATTCCTGGACCATTTAACGTGCATTGATGTCTCTGTATCTGTGCTACGTATAATAGATGCACAAGCTGACAACACGCACATGCTACGCAGGGTTTGACCTGAAAGGATACAGGACTCGGAGCTGAGTCAGCCAGGCACTTTTACTTTGAAAATCACTCCATGTTTTTTAAAAAAATCTTTGTCCTCTTTGTTCCTTAATAGTTGAGGCAAGGTCTCCCTTTGCCCTAGAGGCCAGAATACATTGTCCTCAGCCAACAGAAGGTCAATCAGCCAATACATTCAGCAGGGGAAAAGAAAACCCTAATAAAGTGATCAGGATCAGGAAGCAAGACCTGAACAGTATTACAGCAGAGGGTTAATGTAAATGCCATTGAGGTTTGCGGTGTGCAATAGCTGCTTGCATTCGCTTGATCGTTTAACCAGAAATTAACACTTAGCAGGTCAGACCTCGAGAACAAAAACCAAGTGAGCGGCCGAGAGCTGAAGAAACAAAGTGTAGGGGAATGAGAAGAAATCAAAGGAGTGGTCAGGCCACTTCTGGTGTATCCTGTACATGGCAAATAAAGATGACTGGCCTGACTTTGGAGGATCACTATCAGGCTGTTTCTTCTGAATAATTCAAAAATAAAAAAAAGTGCAATGAGCCCCAGCTTAAGAAAATGACAATGGCTTGTTTCTGATGTAAACGGCTATCACAGTCCTTGAACTCGCCTTTACAAGCTATTCCCACATTAACCAGAGGGGAGAGTGGAGGATAGAAGTCTCTGGTTTAATACACTCCATTATATGGAACTCAAATGGACATGTTGTGCTCATCCAGTGTGACATTATGGAGGGAAATCAGATGAGCCCGACTTTAAATTCTCCATTTGCCTCAGTTTATTACATCCCCTCTCCTTCCCCTTTATTGTGTCAGACCCTCAACCTATCTCCCACGACTTTGCCACAGCCTTTCAGATCAGTGGTGAGATACTGGGAAGGAAGCACAGGTTGAGGGCTCAAGTAACAAAAAACAACACGGGATGGGATTGGGTTTTTCTGGCTGCAATAACTGAGAGTCCAGGTGTAAGTCAAATGCCAACTCACTAATCTAATATAGTATATCTCTTTCTGAACAATCAGCTTCCCTCGCTCTTCACGTACACAAGTATAAGGGGATGGAAGTTGGAACCAGGCACAGCACACAATGGTTAGGGTGACTTGGCTACAAGCAGATGTGGAGAGGGAAACATCTGGATGCGATGATACATTACCCACTAAAAGCTTTCAGATAATGTGAAACTTCTGTCAACGAAGCTCTTCAATCTAAAGGCAGAGGTGAAGCTACCATCAAACAATGCTTATTGACAGGGCATTACAGGATCGCATACACTGTGAAATCACTTTTTTTCCTACCGGGTTCGGAATATCTAGTGTGTCCACACTTGGCTTACTGTGTCCAGTTTGAAGAGCACCTCATCTTCCGAAACAAAACAGAGTGTCCGGAAGATTATTTTCAGACTCGGATAACTTATTAGGAGAGACTCACAAAGATGAAGACACTTAATCCAAGGTCTTTATAATAGTGAGCTCCATAGATGAGGTAGATTTAAGGAGGCAATTTGATTTACTGACCGCAAGAGAAGAACGACATACATTTTTAACAGGAAAAAAAGCCTCAAGCAGAATTTTCCTTCAGGATGGAGGAGATTGTAGAAACCTCTGTAGAGAGCTGTTGAGAATTTTTATTTAAAAAAAGCAGCTAAGTTATCGATTTGATATTTAAATGTCAGTATTCGGAGTATAATAGGGATGGAAACCGATGGATGAATAAATACTCTGAAATAACGCAACTGAGCCTGAGCAGGTTGATGTGTGCAAAGGTGTGCCTTGGGGGAGCAGGGAAAAGAGGGAGAAGGCAAAACAATAGGTAAGAGACAGGCGAGAGCAATGAATATTCTGAAGTGGGTACTGGATTGGCCTTTGGGGATCAGGGAGTGTCTATGCAGAACTTCCCCCCCAACAGAGAAGATGGAGTGGGGTGGTGTGCAGTAGCAGGAGAGGTTTAGGTGTGGTCTGTCTGTGGAAGGAAGGACTGAGTCAGACTCTACAGAGGAGACGAGATTTTGGGAGGAAGGAAATGGCCAACATCTCCAGGCCCACCAAGTGGTAACCGGACACACTTCACTAGTATCTACATTCCAGACATTCGCATCCTCCCGTACCCAGAGAGTCCTAGATTCATAGCGGTTACAGCTCAGAAACAGGCCATTCTGCTGGTGTTTATACTCCACACGAGTGTCTATCCTCAATCCTATCCCTAGTCCCACATCCCACCCCTCCACCACACCCTCATTTGTTTCTTCATTTTATTCTCTTATAACCATGTGTCCATTGTGCGTTTGAAAGTACACATGGCTGCCAACCCAACACCGGACTCCAGCACAGGATTCCACACTCCACGTGAAAAANTCCAGCCCAAACATGGTGGAAGTTGATAAAATAATATGAAAAAAAACAGAAGACATGTCCAGCTAGGATCAATCTATCCATTAGGGCGTTGGGTGGTAGAGCTCAGTGCATGTCTAGACCTCCAAGGTTGCTTTTGATTACCACAGACATACTTGTAAGGATTATTATTCCGCGGGGTATCTCCTCTCCTCACAGGGAGTTCAGGCCTGGGGAGACTCTGCTAACCAACCCCCCAACCCCCCGAGTATATTTTACACATTTAAAGCCTTGATGTGCTAGCACCCCAATGCTATGTGCCATCACACTTCAGTATTATGTGACCTTGGAAGCAGACACTTAGATAAATTAGAACTTACACCATAGAGCATCCATTGCCTGAAGCAGCAAAGTGCAGACAAATGCTTTGTGGCCTGGCATCATAACATATTGATCCTTTTCAGCTTAACCAACCAACCAACCAACTAACTAACTAACACTGTGAATGAGCAACATAGCCACTAAACACCAGAGTCTCAAAATTCATTGCCGGAAAATGTTGAAATTCAGTCTTAAATTTGAAATCTTTTTCGTGCCTTCATCAGGGATGTTTTGGAGAGACAGGTAAATAGGTACTGGCAGCAAATTCTGACCAACTGTCCTGGCCATGTGCGCTAAACTTTTGTTTTTGAGAATTTTCCAATGACAGAATGAAAAAAAAATACCTTTTCTCAGGGGAGTACCACAAAAACCCTTCCTCCTCAGTTACCCTCATGTACAAAAGTAGGTATCATAAGAAGACACTTTTGCTTTAATTCCCCCCTCCCACCCCCGGCTCCTCCTGCATTTCACCCTTTCCCTCCCCCCCCAAAAAAGACACTTTACGCCTGTGGTAGATGTGAGGAGTTTGTTATAGATGCTCTCAATGGATAAAGAAATCCAAAGATGGTACTTCCTGTGGTTTAGGCTGTTTTCCGTTTGCCGTGGATATAGGTTTGATAGTAGAAGTTGCAGAACAGGATGATGATGGTGATGATGTAGAGGAATACAAAAAGGTTAAACCCATCTGGGAAATCGCAGTCTGTGAAGAGGTTATAGGAGGTGTGAGCAGCAATACCCAAAAACTGGACCTAAAAACAAGAGCAGAAACAAACAAACAAACAAACAAACAAACAGGTCAGACATCTCTGAATTGTATCGTAGGCAATGTCCGTTCAGACCACAGCAAACATCCATTGATCGTTTCAGACAGCGTCGCTCTCCGCTTTCAGGGAGTGCGGGACCGATGTCAAACAGGTAAAAGGGGAATCAGATCAAAGGGCCTGAAGGAGGTGAGTGCGTTCACTGATGCACCAAAACAGACAGAAGCTTCTCAGACAGGGGCTGCGGGGGCAGAGTGATGGGGGCGGGGGAACGGGGGGATGGGCGCTGTGGGGGATGGGGACGGGATGCTGCGGACGGGGGCGGGGGGATGGAGGCGGGGGGACAGGGGGATGGGGGCGGGGGCTGCGGGGGCCGGGGGGCTGCGGGCTGCGGGGGGATGGGGGCGGGGCAGATAAATTTTACTGAAATGCAAATCCTTCACCTACAAATTCTCTTTGAGACAAAATCAGGGCATAACTCCATCATTCAAACAGATTTTAATAGGGATATAAACCACATGCAAAGCTGCTCTATCCACACCACTGCACCAATCACAAGACAACTTACAAATGAGGAAGGAGACAATTGCCAATGTAAAGGAGATGGAGGAACAAACTGAGAAAACCTTCAGCCATCAAGGGTTGGGAAGCTATTTCAGTGTAATAAATGTACCTTCTGACCCAGACGTAACTCGCTCCAGGTTTGTACGGTCATCAACTCAAAATACAACACAAAGCTGCTAAGTGAGAAGCACCAAGTCTACAGAGCACTCTCACACAGCTCCCAAACCTCCCCCAGCACCGCAGCTCCTTCTCAACTTGAAGCCAACAAAATATTCACCAATTATCAGTAATCGAAAAGACGTCTCCGACTTGAGTGGATAATGGATGATATGACAAAGCCCAAACCTACCAGCTGAAGCATGGTGAGGTAACGTTTCCACCACAGGTACTTCTGCATGTGGGGCCCCAAGGCTGCAATGCCATAGTACATGTACATCACGATGTGAACAAAAGAATTCAAAAGGCCGATGAAGAAAGCTGGAGATAAGATGGAAGAGAAATTATTTGCACGCTCATATCGGGGGCATTTTGCCGCGAGCTGGAAGCCAGTTTCTAACACATGACACAAAGGTCCTCGCGGAGGTATCTTTCCAGAACCAGGTTTTGGAGAGGGACGGGGAAGAGGATTCACCTTTGCCTTACTTGTTGGGACTGTTTCCCATTGTTCTAGCTCAGGATTACGTCAGACGCACTTCACAATGCGGTTCATGAATACTGAGACGTGCGCGCAATATAAAGTTGCAGCAATAATCACAAACTGGTCTGAATGACAAGGAGTGTAAATAATGCAGAATAGAGGCTGGCTGGCCGGCCGCTGGCCTGTGAAACAGATACATCTACTTGTCAATAACGGCTCTCAGTTGGCGTTTGCATAGTGCTTCCACACTATTAGACTATTAATGTTGTGAGCTGAGCGCCCACTGTTATCTGCCAATCTGCCTAAAATGATCCCCATAATAGCGGGCAGCAGAGGGTACAAGTCAAGCAGTTGACACAAGTAAAAACAGCATCACTGAGTCTAGTTACACTACGGGCCAAGGCTACCAAATGGGTTCTGTACGTTTGCTTTCAGCAAGAAAATAGATGAGCGGAATAAAGAAAAATGGTTCAAATTAAACAGGATGGTGACTTGATCGCAAAGACGATCGTGTGTGGGCAAAGGTGAACACTGGTTAGTAATGATGTGACTTTGACCTGGGATTAGCCATTAGCTGTCAGGGGAGGGAGGGAGAGAGGGAGGGAGGGAGGGGACAGACAAGTTCTGACTTTCAAACCGAGCAAAATTATCATCATCGGAAAGAGTTTCTGTGCCCAATGTTTTCCGTGTGGGATAAGTTTACTTACATTGACCCCCGGGTACGTATTTCACCCCCGCCCACCAGTTGAAAATCATGGTGCCGTGATGGTAGACGTGAAGAAAGGTGACCTGATTTTGCTTTTTTCTCATAATAAAAAATATCTGCCAAAAAGGACACAAGTCAGTCAATAAAACAGCAGTGAAAAAAAAACACACACACAAGAAAATACATAGGATCAGGAGTAGGCCATTCAGCCCCTCGAGCCTGTTCTGCCATTCGATAAAATAATGGCTGATCTGAATCTCAACTCCAATTACCCGCCTTTGCCCCATATCCCTGACCTAACAAATATCTATTCACCTCAGTCTTGAAAATGTGAAATAGATCTGACCACAATCCACAGCCTTTTGGGGGACACAGAGAGAGAGAGAGAGAGAGAGAGAGAGTTCCTGATTTATACTTTCAAACCGCAGACCTAATGCAGACAGTTACTTCGCAAAAATGCAAAAAGCATGAATCTTTGGGGGAGGGAGGGGGGAAGAGGAAGGAGAGGATGAGGGGTTGCCACGGAGAGAGAGAGTTTAAATAACTAGATTTCCTCTCGACTAGGATCTACGTATGACATCTGAGCTTCAGGCAAACTACATTCAACTGTGTTTGATCCTCAGCGCTGGCGAGGTTAAATTCTCTGATCTTGGCTCAATTAGATTTGCTGCACCCTATTTAATCCGCTCTCTAATTAGCTCTGACACAGGCAGACTTGCCCTTCACGGCCAGCGAGAGAGAGGGAAAGAGAGAGAGAGAGAGAGAGCGCCATTAATAATGCTGAGCCACCAGAGAGAGCACTTTTAAAAACAAATGTGAAATCTCTCTCTAAGGGGACATTAGCATTGATTTCATTCAAATTCCATTTTAGAGGCTTGAAAATCATATTTCACACTGGGAGATTAAATTTCTAATAGGATTTTATTCTGTGTCATCTCGTGTGATATTCTACAGAGACAAACATCTAAATAATTGCAATTGGAAAATACCCTCGGAAAGCCAATTAAAATTGCAGAGTGTAATCCATATTATTCTACCTTTCTATTCTCTTTACATTATTTAGTGAGATTATACAGAGAAATAGTTCAATCCAGTTACAGTGTAGAGAGTTGGGTTCGTTCTCAGGGGCATTTGATCAGTGTATAAGTAAGCCCAAGTTTTCCGTCAAGGTGGCAAGTTATAATTTCTTTCTCCCTCTCCGCAAAGCAAGTTCCCGATTTCTCAATGGTAAAGGACCGAGTTGTAATGACCAAGTTCTGTGAATTAGCATCCAGTGAGAGAGAGAGAGATTTCTTCTCGACTAGGATCTATGTATAGCATCTGAGCTCCAGACAAACTACATTCAACTGTGTTTGATCCTCAGCGCTGGCGAGGCTAAATTCAGCTACATGTTTGGACCCGATTCATAAATGCTGCAAAACCATGATGAAGCAACACGTGCCTATATTTAGCATTATTATACGTACGTTTTCAGTCAACCTACGCGAGGTATAGGGAAATTACTGACTGTGCCAAATATCCTTTGCACGTAATTATTATTTTCGCCTCTGAATTTAAATAACTAATAGCAACCCCTGCATCTGATACAGCACCTTATCATGTCTTCAAGGCGTCTCAACACTTCACAGGATATTACTGTGAAGTGAATTGACTGTATGTTTTGTGGGCGAAACGCGGCGGCCAATTGTACACAGCAGCGTCCCACAAACAGTCGTGGATTGAGTGACCAAATTTGCATTATTATTACCCCCGGAAAAGCAATCTGCCAATCGACTTAACAATCCCATACCACTAGACAATCTATGAAGTGGATACTAATCAACTGTTGTGATACAGTAATGCACAACAGCTGAGAATGTTATGGTAAAGAGCAATAAGCAATAATTGTGACTTGTTTTGTCCACTATAAAAGACTCGGTAATTTCATGGAGGTTTACATCATCGAAGAACATCTCTGTTCTCTATGACTCAGGTTGTTTGCAATGTGGAGACTGTGATCTGGATTTCTCTTTATGGATTTTCTTCTCACTTTTCTCCTGTTAGACCTCAGGCAGCTACTCTTGCCTTTAGTGCAATTTGATAACAATGGATTTCTTTAAATTGATAGCCAATATACAATTTAATAGACTGGGCGGCATAACGAGTTAGAACAGTGCTCTGCAGAACCAGATAGGAGTCAAAAAAATATATCCAGTCAATTCACTTTACAGTACATTCTGTGAAGCCTCAATACATGATAAGGCACTATAACAAATGCAATCATTATTCTAATTATAATAAAAGTCTCTGGTCCCAGTCCCCTATATGCAGTACAGAGGAGGCCATTTGGCCAGAAAGCCTGTTGCACACGGACAGCAAACCTGGCAAAGGTCCTCGTACTGTCCCTCAGACAGAAACAGAGCTTTAAACAGACAATCTTATAGAGCTCCTCAAGCAAAGATGTATATAACAAGATCAACACTCACTGTGTCCATCAGCTCAATGACCTTGGAGAAGAAAAACCACCAGCAGACATTTGCCATCTGTAAATAAAGATATTCATTACAGAATACAGCAGGAAGACCTCAGAGCAGTCATTAAACATCTCCAGACAAAGAACAGATACCTGAATGTTCCAGTTCTTCATCTGAATCCTCAGACTTGACACCTCAGCTCTGCCAGGCTTATTCAACCAGTGATGGCAAACCTCAAATTGTCCTTTTGGTGTTGATTTGCTGTGCACCACAATATCCCCCACCCCCACCCATATCATAAGGACATAAGAATTTGCTGGCGAAAGAAGACCAAGTTCCATCTAGTTCGCCTTCCACCATCTTGGCAGTCGCTTGGGATGTCGTGCCCCAAACTATAGACTGTCTCCCCAGATGTTATTTTCTCGCAGAAATCGATCTATTTGATATTTATCATCTGATTTGTTTCAAGAACAAAGGACCACAAAAGGACTGAGCTCTTGAAAACTGGCAAACTGCCCATTGAGAACTTGTAATGTATTTTTCTGAGGGCAACTTAACATGAATAAACATCATATTCTGGTCTAACCTGGAAACACCCAATCTGTTATGGAGATCAGTAACCGAACAACACAGAATCCAGCAAAACCCAGGAGGCGGAACAATTATTATTGTGATTGTTACTCCCTCAGCAAGGACCGTCAAGTGTAAATTTGGATGCTAAGATCCTTTTAACTGGTACACGATGAAAGACAAACTTGGTAACACAAACCTTCACAGCAATCTCTGCCACACCCACCCTCCCCCTCCCCCCAACCACAGTGTCTATGTTTCTCACCCGCAGTCCCAGCTCACTGTTGCTGTAGTCCACGGGTTGGCATCGATAGCTGTACTCAGCACGAACAGACGTCACCAGAAACTAGAAAGGTCAAAATTAGACGTAAAGTAAGTTTATACAACAACGGCTTGCAACAACAACAACACAGCACCCTTCACACAGAGCAGCGTCCCAGAGCGCTTGACAGTGGAGGAGCCCAACACCGAGCTGGGGGGAGAGGGGGGAGGTGACCCTAGGCACTGGTCGAAGAAGAAGGTCATCAGGCGCGACCTGCTTCTTGTACTATCCAAACACAGAGACTTCAATGATAAACCGGAAATCCATACAGATTCCCATTGTAACACAGGAAAAAGAAGCCTAAGCAACAGTTCAGAGTGGCCAGGTGTCTGATCTGCTTTACCTATATGTGTTTACATAAGATTTGCCTAACCACCTATTCAAAACATCAAGTTTGTAACGTACTGATGGTTGGATCAAGAGAATATCCTGTTGTTTTTCCCTCAAGGCCACCAGCAGAGCACTGTGCCATCTCACCTGAGCAGTCGGAATAGATGTTCAGGTGAGACGCTCCTCCCACAGGTAGAACTGAAGAGAGTGAGGCAACTCGAGCCATTCTATTCCCTCTCGATATTGTTTACACAGGGCGAAACGTTGGACAAGTTTCCTTGCTCCACACGCCACCGTTTACCGAGCAGTAAGTAGGAACCCGGTTGTTAGTCGATTGGCGGATCGCTTTTCTGGGTGTTGTTCAACAAAACTATTAATAATAATTTGGTCACTCAATCCACAGACTGTTTGTGGGGACGCTGCTGTGCGCAATTGACTGCCACGTTTCCTCCGCAAAATACACAGTCACTACACTTTAAGGTAAATCCTGTGAAGCGCTTTGAGACGACTCAACGACGTGATAAGGTGCTGTACCGAATGCAAGGATTATTATTATTATTAGAGCACCTTGCAGCTTCCATGTGACTTCTGATGATTTGAACCAACCTGGCAATGTAACACAGCATCCTGTACACTTATTATTGCTATTGCCACCTGACACTGTTTGGAAATGGTCAATAGAAAAAATACACAGTCACTACACGTTACAGTATATTCTGTGAAGCGCTTTGAGACGTCTACAAGACTTGATGAGGCACTGTATCGAATGCAAGGATTATTATTGTTATTACTACATATAAAAAAGAATCAGAGTGGTGCAAACATACTTTTTTTTAATGTTGTACGCAAAAAGCCCACCAGACCCCCTTTGTGGCCAGAAATTAATACTGGAAATGAATGGTTAAAACTCGGCAAAAACAGTCTGTCCTTTTCAGTCACATTAGCCAATTCGGCTTCTCTCTCCTAATGTTAATCCTTCTCGTGGTCTACAGTTGCGACCACTCCATCTGGCAATTAAAGTTAGGGTTAAAAAAAAAAATGAATTTTCTATGCAATCTTGTGTAAACCCATTTGCAGCAACGCACAGTTTTTATTTAGCTCCCACTTCTAATCTTCACTGTGAATTTGTTGAGGTATTTAAGCAGAGAAACCATCGGAAATGTGAAAAGCCGGTAACTTAATAACAGTAACAATAATAATCCTTGCATTTGATATAGCGCCTTATCACTTACTCCACACAAACCTTTAACCCCTCCCAAAGCCCATCTCCTATTCTCTTCTCCCTTGCGTTTCAATTTATGAGCATTTTTACCACGTAAATGTATGAGTTTCTTCATCAGTACATTGTTCCCTTTTGTTTCGACCACATTCTCTCCACCCACTGATTGAACAAGTTTCTGCTCAACGTTCAAATAATAAATTGAACATTATGGAGAAGCTGTGGTTACTTCTTCCCTGTAATGGCCACGAAAATGCAGGCAGATATTATTTCCTTGTCAATTCATCAGTTACACGAATGAGAGTTAACATTTCTCTGCTGTCCACTGTGACTGACGCCTGTCAGCAAAAATACAAGCAGGAATTGTTAGACGTCATTGTCCGCTATCTGCAAGGAGTAATACATTTGAGATGAAGTTCGGAAAACTTTTAAGTGTTGTGGTGTATGAAATCATCAATGTGTGCTGCCTTGTGGCATGCTGTAGGCTCTCTATCATTTTATATTTAGAACCTGGAAGGAAACATTCAGTGGAATGAAACCTCCTGTAGCTTTTGTGGAGTAGTGTAGTGGTTAGAGCACTCCCCTCGCAAGTAAGAGAACCTGGGTTCAATTCCCGGGCAGGGTGAAATGTTAGGGAAGTTTCCTTACCCCAAACACCTCTGTTTACCCAGCAGTAAGTAGGAACCGATTGTTAGTCGATTGGCGGATCGCTTTTCTGGGGGTAATAATCCCTTCAAAAAATAATAATTTGATCACTTCAATCCACGACAGTTTGTGGGACGCTGCTGTGCGCAATTGGCTGCTGTGTTTCGCCCACAAAATACACAATCAATTCACTTTACAGTATATTCTGTGAAGCGCTTTGAGACGTCGAGAAGACATGATAAGGCGCTGTATCAAATGCAAGGATGATTATTATTAATTCTTATGTATAGCTGGTTTCCCATTAAGGAATCTGTTAGAAATCAACACATAATACATCCCACTACCTGACAAGGCTCTTTGTACTCCATTGAAATAATTTATACAGCCCTACAGACTTGGTTCAGATTCTATTCCATCTTGTTCATTGTAAAATTAATAACACTCAAGAGTTTTCAGTTTGAACATAAGTTGAACGGGAATCCAATGTTTTCATCTGAAAATACGATTGTCAAATTAAACTGTAAAAAAGCAAAAATCAAATTAAATTTGTGCAACTCCAAGGAAGGCAGTCAACCTCCATACGTTGAATTACACTTGCGCAGTGTAGGCTATTGAGGAAATCGGATTTTATACAATTTATACAGTTTGCCTTCAACTCAGACTTTGTGTAAATCATATTGAAGGTTACGGTCCTGACTGATATGACTTGTGTGAGTTTTACTGTACATAACACATTCTCTCTCTCTCTCTCTCTGTCTCTCTCTCCATCCATCCTTCCTAACACTTAATTATCCTTGTTGTTAAGAGCTTCACATCGACTGAACACTTTAGTTGAACACTCAAGAATCACGTCATAATCTTTGAGAGAAGAGGGAAGGTTGGAGGAGGTTGGAAAATGACTTTGTCCATAGGTACGATCAAAGAGAAAGCTTTTCCAGGAGACTTTCAAATTACAACCACAACAAGAATTTACATAGTGCCTTTCTCGTCGGACAGCGTCTCGGAGCGCTTGACAGACAGATAGTGGAGGAGAGGCGGAAGGAGTTTCAGAGAGGAAAAGCAGATTTCAGATGGTGGAGTGGAGGGCGTAAGGAAAGGGCAGGAGCACAGAGTTAGCTGAGCGGACAGGCAGGTCAGAGAGAAGAATATACACAACCAATGATGTTGTACGTTAGTATAGGCAGTTTAGAGATGCCTCAAATGTACTCAAGCAGAAGACTTTCAGTTACAATGAACAAGGAAATCAAATACCTCCCAAAACATGTAGGATGAGATGCCAACGAGGAGAAAATTGTAAATGATCAGGACATATTTCAGACTGAATGGTTCCCGCGTCAGCATAAACTTTGGTCCATACTTGCAAATGAGAAGGTAAACAATGAAGGTCACAGTGACAGGAACGGGCGAGTAAACAAGGAACCAGGGGTCTGTCCTCTTGTCTGAAAAGAGATGGATAAAACAGAATTCAAATCCAATGCAAAGAATAAGATTTGAAATATGATGAGTCTTTTTTACATAACAGTATACTGAAAAATAGATTCAAATCTCAATGCTTTACGTGGCAAAATGCTTAGAAGATAAAACTGTTCTAAACACCTAAAATATATTAGAATACCAATTAATTCGCTATATGTTGGTCCCATTGTGATCAGACGTGCTGCAGCCTGAATGTACTCAATGCCACCACAATCAGGCCAGTCTTTGCCATCCCTGGTGGAGAGCAAACTAGTGCATGTCCAGAGATTATAGTAGTGTTTCTCAACCAAGATGAAAAATGTGCTTTTGCTCCCAAATCCTTTCAAAATACATTTTCTCCTATAGCACCATTCTCAACATCAACAACAACAACAGCAGCAGCAGCAATAAATGACACTTGTATCGCGCCTTTCACACCGGGAGGAATTCCCAAGGCTCTGGCACTCAGTTCACCAACTAAGTGCAAGCATAAAACTTCTCCCAAGTCACCAACACTGCTTCAGTCACTACGTGATGTATACATCAGCCTGTCCCATGATTTGCCATGCTATGCCATGCCCTAGACTAGAGGGGTAGATTGTAGGGTGTATTTGCTGCTGCATTTTGCCCACAAAATATACAGTCAATTCACTTTACATTGTATTCTGTGAAGCGCCTTGAGACGTCTCAAAGACCCGATAAGGCACTACATCAAATGAAAGGATTATTATATTATTATTACTGGGGCAGGGAAGTGACAGAAATAAAAAAGGGAAATTAATGATTGCCACATGGAGACAACCTCACAGAAGAGAGTATAAGTTAGCAACCACAAGCTCCCATTTACACTTACTTGCAATCAACTGTCAATTTCAGATCAGTCTCAGCCAAGAAGCATGTAACAGCCTTTTACGAGCAAACCTATTAATATTAATGATAATCCTTGCATTTGATACAGCACTTGAACGTCGAAACATCTCAGTGCACTTCGTAAATGATTGCTACCAAGTGTATTTGTCTAATTGCAGGCAAACAATCGTGCAACATTTTAAACTTTTAATCACCCTTTCATCCAGGTTTACATGCATCTTAAATATAGGGGAAGCAACTTATAAAACGAATGCTTACGGTACCTAATTGAAATCTCTATTCAAAAGATACACTCTAGTTAAAGTCGTTGTTCATGGGAACACAGTTGAAACCTCAGGGAAAGCAACGTAGGTCAAGGAGGCAACAATATACAGTTACCAGAGGTGGGCGAAGCACTTAAGACAAAAGCCCGATCAATTAGTCCCAACAAATTCTCTTCCCCCCCCCCCCACCTCCATAACTATTAGGATCAACGATCAACCTCAATTCAATTTGCGACTACATCCCCTGTACAAACTGGCATTTCAGGCAGGAATAGACTATTGGTTCATTTTGTCCGCAAGATGATATCTTGAATGTGTAAATCTCTGTAGTAATAATAATAATCCTGAATTAATTTGGTTGACAGGAACTCACCTCGTATCTTTTTGTTTTGAATCCCTTTGTAATTTATTGTTCTTCCGACCATTCGATCCACATGCTTATTGTAATTTTGTTAACAAATAGCTCTCCTTCTATTTCCTATCCTCTCCTATCCAAGTCTTTTCTCGTGAAATTTTTGTACGAGGCGGAAAACATTTTAAACGCTTTCCAAACCCTTCACGATGTTAATTAACCCTCTCAGGCTACTCAAACCAAGAGTTAATGTCATAAGGTATCTCAAGTTCTGCGCAGTGCAAATAATTTGGTGTCACTCATTTTCCATAGAGCAATGTAGACAGTACTTTACACGTCAGGTAAAACAACAAGGAAATTAAAAAAGGTTAGGTATCTATTGTATGTCTGTGGTATGAATGGAACCTTGTTACGCCTGTGCTTGGGATAATACGTCTATTTGACAACAACAACAAACAACAAAATTACATGTGTATAGCGCCTTTCACGTCGGGAGGACGTCCCAAAGCGCTGGACAGACAGAGTTACAGATCCGAGCTGAGGGTCGGGGTTGGGGAGGGTGGAGGGCAGGGAGGGAAGCAGGGAGATTGACAGCACGGTCGAAGAGGAGGGTCTTGAGGTGGGCCTTGAAGGTGGCGAGGGAGGGGGCGAGATGGAGGTACTGCGGGATGGAGTTCCAGAGGGTGGGGGCAGAGTGGCGGAAGGCCTGCCTGCCGATAGTAAAGTGAGCAAGGGCGGGGGACATGAGGCAGGCTGGAGCCCGCTGAATGGAGGGATTGGGCAGTGTGGTAGAGGGTTAGGAGGTTGGAAAGGTCAGGGGGTGCAAGAGCATGGAGGGCTTTGAAGGTGAGGACCAGGATCTTGAACTGTATCCTCTGTGTGATGGGAAGCCAGTGGAGTTGGGCGAGGATGGGGGTGATGGGGTCACGGAGCCTGGTGCAGGAGAGGACACGGGCTGCAGAGTTCTGGATGATCTGCAGTCTGTGGAGGGAGGAGTTGGGGAGACCGACAAGCAGTGAGTTTGCACAGTCGAGCCTCGATGTAATGAAGGTGTGTATGAGGGTCTCGGGGGCCTGCGGTGTGAGACAGTGTCAGAGCCGGGCGATGTTGCGGAGGTGGGGAAGGCAGAGTGGGTGATGGAGCGAATGTGGGGTAGGAAGGATAGTTGAGGGTCAAACAAGACCCCAAGGTTCGGGACTGGCTCAGTGAGGGGGAGTGAGCCCCAGGGATGGTGATACTGTCAGCGCCTGAGGTGAGGAGGCGCTGCGGGAGCCAATCAGGAGCCTCGGGCTTGTTGACGTTTTACTGAAGAAAGTTACCTCTCATCCAGGACTTGATGTCTGACAGACATTCTGTCAGGACAGCAGTGGCCCTGGAATCAAGGGTGGAGGCAGAGAGATAGAGTTGGGTGTCATCCGCATACATCGACCCCATGTCTGCGGATGATGTCACCAAGAGGGAGCGTATAGATGTTGAAGAGGAGGGGATCAAGGACAGAGCCCTGAGGAACACTGCACGAGATGGTGCGGGGGATGGAGGAGAGGAGAAGCCGTTTGAGGAGATGAAGTGCAGGCGTGTGAGAGGTATGATCTGAACCTATCAAGGACGGCGCTGCAGAGGTTGAGGTGAGAGAAGAGGCGGTAGATGAGGATAGAGTGGTCGATGGTGTCGAAAGTTTAGAGAGGTCAAAGAGAATGAGGAGGCAGAGGGAACCCTGGTCACAGATGGACCGAATGTCATTTGTCACTTTGACCAACAGGAAAGTCACCCATTCATCAGTCAGCAATTCATGTGAAAAATTCCACAACTCCCCACATCACAGCTGAATTTCTATACGCAGGTAATGAGCACAAATGTCTCACAAGTTTGACTATGGTCGCTGTTTGAATTATAAAAATTGCAGTGAAGTGTTCAGAGGCGAGAGATTGCCAACGGGTGTCTCTGCTGGTGATAATTAACCAACATTAGGGTTAATTAAAGACATCTGAAATGGTAGAACTCAACTGGTGGGAAAAGCTGCAAGAAAAGCAATGTGTGAAGCTTCATTTCTGATAACATTGTACATCTGCACGGATTTTTTTAGCATGCAAAATACTAAAAGTTCTGTATTCGAGGGTATGACTGAGCAGCAGGGTAGAGAGGCCATGCCTTCAGCCCCTACGCCCCGAAACCTCCTCCCTGCATCCCTCTGCCTTGCCCACACCCTCCCCACTTTCAAGTCCCGCCTAAAGACCTTCCCTTTTTGATGGTGCTTACGGTCACCTCCACCTCCCTGGCTCGGGGTCAGACTTCACCACTTACAAGGGCTACCCCGTGTGAAGGGCGCTATATAAACACAAAGTATTGTTGTTGTCGTTGAGAGGAAATAGTGAGGAAATAGTACGACACAGGCGAAGTGAGCTTGCAGTGCAGCTATTACAGATGTTTTTCCTGGAATGAGAATAAAGATCCTCAAACCAGACCAGACTCCCATTCTCTCTGACCCTTAACACCGTCCCACAAAGGCACAGGTGAGATCAGGAACAAACACAGAGGCCCGGCCCCAGCACACAGCTGTGCTGCAGGTTGATGCTCTAACTTTGGGGCTCTAATGAAATCCGCTATAACTGCAAGTCAATTGCTCCAAATTCAGCGCCTTGGGACGTCCTCCCAATGTGAAAGGCTCTGTGTAAATGCCATTTGTTGTTGTTGATCATATCACAAGGGAGATGGTGCAAAGTCGGAGCAATACCTGATACTTAGTAAAAAGTAAATTATCTTCATCAAAGTAACATTTCCCACACATCATACTCCTACGATTGATGATATTCCTTCCACAAAATATACAGTCAATTCACTTTACTGTCTATTCTTTGAATGCTTTAAGACGTCTCGAAGATATGATAAGGTGCTGCATCAAATGCAAGGATTATTATTAATTAAGTAAGCCATGATAATTAGCAGTCTTGAGGACACAGCGTGATTGTATATTTCTTACCTCCATTTTCCAGCGCCCAATCATAAAAGCCTCTCACTTTCTGCCAGGTAGAAGCCATGAGGTTCAATAAATACCCTGAAACAGATGTGATGGGCACAAGTGTTAAAAATGTCAGTTTACTCTGAGGCAATCAGAATGAGTATCAAAAGCAGCTCAGGAGGTTTCAAACAAACTGTGCTTCTCAAAGAGAATAACTGAGGCATATTTTGATTGAGTCTTGTAGATCCTTAGTGTCCAGGCCTATTATTGACACACAGAAACATGTAGGCTTGTTCTTAACAACAACAACAACATTACATTTTTGTGTCGAGCCTTTCACGTCAGGAAATATAGATATGAAAGCGATGCCTGCAAGAAAAGAGAAGGCGAACACTACCAATCAATGCTGAATGAATGAATGAATGATGACAGTTTAGGGGAGTTGGTCTTATCGAGGATCTTTGTCTATAATTCATGAGTTAATTATCTCCATACCAGAGTTAAAGGAGCAGCATGGTTTAGGGCATGTACCAAAGGTGACGTATTTCCCTTACATGTGTCCAAACATGTTATTTAGGCATCATTCACTGTGGTAGCTACAAAACTCCTCCAAAAGGCAGATATGATTTCAACAGAGGGAAGGGAACAGGCTGGTGCGCTAAGACACAGGAATCCTGCGACTGAACATTTACGTGAAATGCAAGAGCTATTTTGGTCGAAGTCAAAAGTTTAGCCAGTGTTTCACCCCAAAAAAGTGGAAAAAATTGAACAACTGTCCCAATTTCTCTAACAGGCAGAAACTCTGCACGGCTGATCTGATGACTCACATGCTTCTAAACACTCTCAGGGAGGGAGGGAGAGAGGGAGGGAAGATATAAAATATGACTTACTATGCCTTCCCTCTCAGAACGCACAAGCACTGGAAATAAATATCTCTCAAACCGATCCACAAAGACACTGGCAACAGGCACAAAGTAGGCCAGCCACCACAATAGATTTCTCAACCTTAAAGCCAACACAAAAGAATAAACGTACATGACACAAGGTATATGTTATATCAGTCATCAGACGCATTGACCAGCAGTGAGTCATTTTAACAGGAAATAGCGTGGGTCTAAAAAAAAGTAATGAGGACCTGAAAATGAATATCAATCATGAATTCAACAGTTATGCTCTCGACTTTTTTTTAATAAATAAAAAAATCTATGACCTCTCCTCTTCACGAGGGGAGTGTCTGTCCTGCGCATTGGACAACAACCCCCCCGGAGAAAATTAGTCATTCACATCATGGCTGTTTGTGGACTGTGATTCAGGGCAGAAATGGCTGCAGTGGTCACCTACAATTACAGTCACTTTACAGTAAATCCAGTGAAGCGCTTTGAGGCGTCTCGATGATGTGATAAGGCGCTGTATCAAATGCAAGGCTTATTGCGTGAATGAGATTTACCTAAATCTTCCTCTTTTAAAAATACCGGATCAATAGGCTTAGTGACTTGGTAAGGCTATTATATATTTTAATTAAAATTAGTGTATGTTTGTGTGTGTATTGGGGGGGTATTAATGCAACACAATCCATATTAGCTATTACAATGATAGAGGTTACAAACCCCAAGAAGGAAATGTGGGAAAAGGTTTTGAATGAATAGTTGGGCGGAGAACTGTGAAGTAAACAAATTTACCTACAACACAATTGCTTTCTGAGTCACAAAGCTTTAAAATCAAAACCAAAGCGGTTGGGCGGAGCTTTCAGGAGGAATTGTTGACAGCTCAAAAGCTTAACATTCAATCCTCTCAGATTGCCTGACATTTTAATAAGAGGGAGGGAGGGGTGGGTGGGAAGAAGAAATAAAAGCAAGAGGACCTGGGTTCGATTCCTGGGCAGGGTGAAATGTTAAGTTTGTTTACTCGATTTATGGATTTAGATTACTCCCTACCTCAACCATATATTGTGTAATTGCTTAGGTTCTGGCCTGAAAACTATTAACTAATATTTCAACTCTTTTTTTCAATGGACAATATCCTTCTTTAGTCAAAAGGTGACTCTTCCTGCTTCCAGGAGCACGTTTCCCTTTAATTGATCATCTACATGTGTGTAGAAACTCCTTATTTTAAAAAAAATAATGGTCTCGTGTTATTTCACAGTATATGTAGGGGTTGTTATCACCTTTTGTTTAAAGTGGCACACAAGTGTATTCCCTTTTCCGCTGAATCTGTAGCATTCATTCCTCCCAGGTTGGCTAAAGTTTAGAAAGGTTGCCTTAAGTGATTGCTTTTGTCTTTAATGAGCGATCTTGACTTTAATTTATTCCCTTAAGCAATGCTTAGATTTTTTTTAATGGATCTACTTGATTGTTGGGAAATAGTGGAATAGTTGTTTGGAACATTACTCACCCATTATGTGAGTACCTTTGATAATTGGCTGCAATTCTACTCACCCATTGGTATTTGTGTCGTCATCACTAGGGATCTCAATACTGTTCCAAGTGTGAAAGATTTGTATCCCTTTTTTCACTCTGGTTATTATTGTTGCTTGGCCAATCGCAATAATGTCTCCTATAATTATTAAATATTTCAAACTAAATCTGGTTGACAAAAAGTTGAAATTTGCTGCATTTAGCATGATTTAAATGTGTTTCAAATGAATTTCAAAAGAATTCTCAAGAAACCGGAATAAACATGAAGAGTATTGAGCCATACAGACTGAAAGGTTGCAAGTTTAATGTTTAGATGACCTGGTTTAGCTTAGTTGAGGCAGCAGGAAGGGGGATTATGATTGAGTTCAGTGTATTCAGGATAGGGAGCATAACCAGTGTTTCTGGTCTTCATTCCATTCTGCTCAGAAACTTCAGCTTGTAATTGCACATTCACAGCTGTCAGTGAAGATTGGGCACATGAAGTATGGCCATTTGGGTAAGATGAGATGGTAAAGTGCAGCATGTGGTACTCTTCTGAAGCAGATAGGGGCTCGCCCTTCTCCGCCACACGCAGGAAGGTTCCAAGGACTAACCTCAAGGTGTAAAGCAGCATCTACCTGAGGTCAGGTCCTCTCTCCTGTTGTTCTTGATAGATGTGTGGTGTTGGGAGATGTGGGAGGAGAGGAAAAGTGAGAAACCATTCAGTGGTGTCATGTACATATGATTGAATTGGAATAGACTTACTAGACATTTGGTAAAAATTTGAGTTTGGTGATATTTCCACAAAATAAAAAAGCTCTTAAGGAACCCTTATGTATTAATGATGTTCCTAATCCCTGACAGGTTTTTGACAGAAACATCGCCTTTTATGTGGGCAAACCTCGGAATTGGACTGGCTATCTCTCTGTCTGTCGTTGGGGCTGCATGGTAAGAGTTCTGTTCCTATTGGTGTAATTGACTGAAGTTGGAAATTGTTCCAATACAAAATTGCATTCATTTATCAACTTGTATCACTTTATGAATATTCAGTATGCGTTTCTCTCCATCAAGTTTGACTTGCACAAAATGCATGCTCAACAAGACCAGGACATGCTAATGTATGGTATTAGCAACAGACACTACTGTTCATGTAAAATCAGAGCTATCTACCAATATGTTAATGAGCATACTATGCCTTCCCTCTCAGAACGCACAAGCACTGGAAATAAATATCTCTCAAACCGATCCACAAAGACACTGGCAACAGGCACAAAGTAGGCCAGCCACCACAATAGATTTCTCAACCTTAAAGCCAACACAAAAGAATAAACGTACATGACACAAGGTATATGTTATATCAGTCATCAGACGCATTGACCAGCAGTGAGTCATTTTAACAGGAAATAGCGTGGGTCTAAAAAAAAGTAATGAGGACCTGAAAATGAATATCAATCATGAATTCAACAGTTATGCTCTCGACTTTTTTTTAATAAATAAAAAAATCTATGACCTCTCCTCTTCACGAGGGGAGTGTCTGTCCTGCGCATTGGACAACAACCCCCCGGAGAAAATTAGTCATTCACATCATGGCTGTTTGTGGACTGTGATTCAGGGCAGAAATGGCTGCAGTGGTCACCTACAATTACAGTCACTTTACAGTAAATCCAGTGAAGCGCTTTGAGGCGTCTCGATGATGTGATAAGGCGCTGTATCAAATGCAAGGCTTATTGCGTGAATGAGATTTACCTAAATCTTCCTCTTTTAAAAATACCGGATCAATAGGCTTAGTGACTTGGTAAGGCTATTATATATTTTAATTAAAATTAGTGTATGTTTGTGTGTGTATTGGGGGGGTATTAATGCAACACAATCCATATTAGCTATTACAATGATAGAGGTTACAAACCCCAAGAAGGAAATGTGGGAAAAGGTTTTGAATGAATAGTTGGGCGGAGAACTGTGAAGTAAACAAATTTACCTACAACACAATTGCTTTCTGAGTCACAAAGCTTTAAAATCAAAACCAAAGCGGTTGGGCGGAGCTTTCAGGAGGAATTGTTGACAGCTCAAAAGCTTAACATTCAATCCTCTCAGATTGCCTGACATTTTAATAAGAGGGAGGGAGGGGTGGGTGGGAAGAAGAAATAAAAGCAAGAGGACCTGGGTTCGATTCCTGGGCAGGGTGAAATGTTAAGTTTGTTTACTC